GGAGGGTCTAGGCCCGAACCGTCAGCCTTCCTGCTCCTCTGATGCTGTTTGGCCTGCTGTGTTCATCCAGCTCTACACCTTGTTATCTCAGATTCTCCAGCATCTGCTGTTCCTGCTATCTCTTGCTGTTTATGATCTTGCTTTTCTAGCTATTCCTACTGTCTCTCACTCGCTAACTTGATTGAGTTTTTGGAAGAAGTGACAAAGATGATTGAAGGCAGTGGACGTGGTCTATATGGAATTCAGGAAGGCGGTAGACTGGTTAAAAAGGTTAGATCACATGGAATGCAGGGAGAACTAGCCATTTGGATACCGAACTGGCTCGAAGGTAGAAGACAGAGGGTCGTGGTGGAGGGTTGCTTTTCGTACTGGAGGCCTGTGATCAGCAGCGCGCTGCAAGGATTGGTGCTGGATCCACTGCTTTTTGTTATTTATATTAATGATTTGGATGTGAATATAGGAGGTATGATTAGTAAGTTTGCAGATGACACCAAAATTGGTGGTGTAGTGGACAGTGAGGAAGTCTACCTCAGAGTACAATGGGAACTTGATCAGATGGGCCATTGAGCAGAGGAGTGGCAGATGGCGTTTAATTTAGATAAATGTGAGGGGCTGCATTTTGGAAAGGTAAGTCAGGGCAGTTAACATTTTGGGTCGAGTGACCCTTCCCCGAACTGAGTTCTGAGGAAGAGTCACTTGACCCAAAACATTAACTCTGATTTCTCTTCACAGATGCTGCCAGACCTGCTGAGCTTTTCCAGCAATTTCTGTTTTTGTTTCTGATTTACGGCATCTGCAGTTTTTTTTGGTTTTGTTTTACAATGATGCTGCCAGGGTTGGCGGGTTTGAGCTATAGGGAGATGCTGAATAGGCTGGGGCTATTCTCCCTGGAGCATTGGAGGCTGAGGGATGCCCTTATTGAGGTTTATAAAATCATAAGGGGCATGGATAAGCTGAACAACCAAGGCCCTTTCCCTAGGAAAGGAGTCCAACACTAGAGGGCATAGGTTTAAAGTGAGAGGGGAAAGATTTAAAAGGGATCTAGAGGACATTTTTTTTCACACAGAGGGTGGTGCCTGTATGGAATGAAGTGCCAGTGGAAATGGTGGAGGCTGGTACAATTACAACATTTAAAAGGCATCTGGATGGGTAGATGAATAGGAAGGGTTTAGAAGAATATGGATCAAATGCTGGCAAATGGAACTAGATTAATTTAGGATATCTGGTCGGAATGGATGGGTTGGACTGAAGGGCCTGTTTCCATGCTGTACATCTCTGACTCTATGACTCTAATTAAAGTAAAAGTATGTTTTATTGTAGATGCCTGAGAGCAGAACATCTCTTGTCTAGGGTATGACCAAAGGGATTCACTTGAACAAATAGGAGAAAATACTGAAAAACTCACCCAAAAATGTAATTGTTCTAGCATATTACCTCTGAGTGTTGATATCTCCTCATCCACTACTGAAGCCCTGAAAATTGCTGCTTGAATTTCAGTTGGTGCGTCCTCATTTTCAGTTAGCTTTGTTTAATTTTCTCTCACTGCCTATTATGGCAAGAAATGAATAATCAATAACTAAAATGTATTATGAAATTCATCAATGTCTCCTTCATAGAAGCTGGTGATTTGATACATCTGCAAGTACTAACTAATGAACCTGCATAATGTTTTGATGTATCTGTCAACCTCAATAGAGTGTACAAGCAGGCCATTTGCCCCACCAAGTCCACACCGACCCTCCAAAGAGCATCCCACCCAGACCCACCCTCTACTTTAACCCTGTAACCCTACATTTCCTATGACTAATCCACAAACTTGAACACTAGGCAATTTAGCATGGCCAATCCACCTAGCCTGCACATCTTTGGACTGTGGGAAGAAACTAGACCTCCCGGAGGAAACACCTGCAGACACGGGGAGAATGTGCAAACTCCACACAGACAGTTGCCCAAGGGTGGCATCGAATCTGGGTTCCCGGCACTGTGAGGGAGCAGTACTAACCACTGAGCCACCGTGATGCCCCAAAAGCCACAGGCTCTCAAGCTTGCCTTCTCTGAGGATTGAACTCAGGACCTTCAGGTTATGAGACTGACACGCTGCCTACTGCGCTAAGAAGGCACAGCACTTGTTCTTGCATATTACCTTGTTCCGTGCTGAGCTTTTCCAATAACTTCTGTTTTTGTTCCTGAATTACAGCATTCGCAGTTCTTTTGGTTTTTACCTTATTCCATCTCTTATGTCCTCCACAGACACAGGGCGGCACAGTGACCCAGTGGTTGGCACTGCTGCATCACAACAACAGGGTACTGGGTTCAGTTCCACCCTTAGGTGACTGTGTGTGGAATTTGCACATTCTCCCTGTGTCTGCCCGGACTTCGTCTGGGTGCTCCAATTTTCTCCCACAGTCGAAAGATGTGCAGGTTAGGTAGATTGGCCATGCTAAATTGCCCATAGTGTCCAAGGTTATGTAGACTAGGTGGATTAGCCATGGGAAATGCAGGGTTGCAGGAATAGGATAGAGGGGTGGAACTCAGTGGGGTGCTGTTTGGAAGGTCATTGTGGACTTGATGGGCTGAATGGCCTGTTTTCGCACTGAGAGTCTATGATTCTATGAATTTGAAATGATAAGTGAAGGCTGTTGTACAAGAAACATTTGGTGTAACATTACTGCTCAATGGGGATGTAACTTTATTTTCACCCATCTTGTCTGGTTGATGTCCATTACCAGCATGGTAGTGTGTGATAAAACTACATTATCCTAGACACTTTGAGGGAAATATTCCCTTTATTGCATAAATTATGCTTGATTCATGTCACATCTTAGAAGTATTTTTATGTCCTTAAAAGCGGCAATTTTTTCTTTATTTTCTTTATTCATTCACGGGATAAGGGTGTCGCTGGCGAGGCAGCATTTATTGCCCATCCCTAATTGCCCAGAGGGCAGTTAAGAGTCAACCACATTGCTGTGGGTCTGGAGTCACAAGTAGACCAGACCAGGTAAGGATGACAGTTTCTTTCCCTAAAGGACATTAGTGATAATTAGTGATTCATGATATTTTGACTGAAAATGAAACATTTTTGATCGTGTGTGTTGGGTATTTTATCAGAGTTTGGAGTTTGCACTTGGATTTTCATATGATGTTTAAAAGCACATTTGATTGACTAATTTTATAATTTGAATAATAACCATCTAAACCACTGAAGATGTTCTTGTGCAGAAAATAGACTCATTTATGATCTTCAGTGTTCAAATCTGTTGAAATTGATTTAATGGAAGAAGAAAACTACAACAGAATGCAGGAAATGTACAGCAGGTCATGCAAAAGCAAACTGAAACATAAAGATCAGATAATATTGTATGTGGGGTCATTCATCAGAAAGTTTAATTTTTTAATTCCGAAGAAAACTGCCAAAAATGTTTAATTTTGGAAGCGTCTGGGACCAGAGGGCAAAGTTTCGGAATAAGGAGTTGCACGTTCAAAACACGTGAAGAAATTTCATCTGTGTTGTGAATCTGTGGAATTCTTTACTGCAAAAAGTTGTGGAGGCTGGGTCAATAAGTATGTTCAAGGCTGAGATAGATTTTTAATCTGTAAAGGAATCGAGGGTTATGGGGAAAAGACAAGAAACTGGAGTTGAGGGTGAGGGTTAACAGTTTAGCCATGATCTCTTTGGATGGAAGAGCGGACTCATCGGGATGATTGGCCTCTTTGCTCCTGTACCTTATGCTCTTACTGGTTTTAAGGAATTTTGCTCTTACTTCAATTTCATTAGAAAAGAGATTGGTAGTTTTCATTTTTAAAAAGATATAGCTGGGATACACAGCAGTTGATTTTGTATAAGGTGTAGCCCTCCTTAATAAAATTATAAGTTGGTGTATATTACAGAATCAGTGAGCTTATAAAAATTCCATAAGAGGTGGAACCACATTCCAAACAGTTTAATCACTGCACATACACAATTGAGCTGGATTGTATTATTGATTCATTTCTTTTAAACAGCAGCTGGACAATAGCACTATTTACTTTTACATGCCTCTCCGTCTGAATGGTGAAATGACAGAATAACCTGTCATGTGACAGGCTGTTTATTCCAGCCTTGGCAATCAAAGTTGTTGTATGGTTGCCAGAGTGAAAAAGAATGCTACATTTGAAAGAGAACAGCATTGTGTGCAAGAAGAGGATCTTACCTCATTCACTTCCAACACTGATTTTTCTTCCTTTTGGTAAAGATTGAAATTTGTGCTGAGCTACAGTTTTGTGAATGCTAGCCGGTTGTCACGTTGTCAGATCATCATTTCTTCAGTGTCAGCAATTGACCACAGAAGGAATAAGTCTGCATTTACATGATTGTTCATTTCGTGACCTCAGGACTTCTCAAAACACTTGATGATCAGTGAAGACCATGAGGTCCTGCCTTTTATTATTAGTTCAGTTTTGTTTGTGCGAGATGTTCATGCATTGGCTTTTGTTCGGACAATAGTAAAAAGTTATAATCCTGATTAGATTCTGTTTTCTTTATCCTCAATTGTTTACAGATACTAATGCCAACTAAGGAAAATTTTTTCCTCAACCTATGCCTTTTGCGTTACAGTTGTAACTCAAATACGTAGGAGCATAGGAACAGGAGTAGACCATTCAACCTGTTGAGCCTGCCCACCATTCAGTGCATTCATGGCTGACCGAACACTTCAATCCTACTAACTCTCCAACCCGGTAACCCTGTACCCCACTAATAATCAGAAATCTAATAATCTCTACTTTTAAACACAAGCAAAGATTGAGCTTCCACAGCTCCCTGGAACCAGTGTAGGTTCGGCGAGCACAGGGTGTTAGGGAACAGGGCTTTTGCAAGTTGAGAGGTTGATAGGAGAGGTTTGATGACCCAAATTTTACAGAAAGTGAAATGTGGGAACCCACGAGGAAAGTTATTGGAATTGTTGAGTTTGGATCTAAGAAAAACATGAATAAGAGATTCAGCAGATGATGAGCTAGGATGATGATTCTTGAGAGATATTATGTCGATTTAGAGATGGCGTAAGCATGAGTTTGAAAGCTCATCTCCGGATTAAATGTAGCATTGAAGTTGCAAATGGACTGACTTAATCCCTGACTGTTACCAGAGAGAGAATCAAATTGGGATTGGAAGTAATGGCTTCAGTCTTGCCAAAAGTTAACTGGTAGAAATTTCTGCTCATCCAGTATGGGATGTTGGATAAACAGGTCTGATGATTTAGCAACAGTCAAGGAGTTCAGAGAGGTTCAAATGAAGTAGAGTTGAGAAATATTGGCTAACTCGGATTAATAATTATAATCGAGAGCTACCTAGTTTGTCTAGTTCATTACAAAACCAAATGTACCAATTATCCACTGAGTCAGTGAGGAAACGAGAAAATAGAAGACTTATTGTTTTTCGAGAACAGATATTTCTTTTAGATTTCATTATACATTTGTCTTAAAACTTAACATGGAAGCATGAATAAGGAAAGTTTTTGGTACTGAAAGAAATCTTCTGTGATTCTACTCTGAATCTTTTATAATTTTTAAAATCTTTTAGTTGTGCATGAATAATAAAGAATGTAAATGACAATTAGATATTTATGATACACCTTGTTTATTATCTTTACTGATTTGTGCTAATACTTTATCTTCTTAAAGGAAAGGCTCATTTTGATGTCCAATATCTGCAAGACATTCACAGAACACACGGGCTTGAAATGAGAAATTCAGAAGAAGGAGCAAGTGGGACAGTTCTACAGCGTTTGTTGCAAGAGCAGCTCAGATATGGAAACCCCAATGAGAATCGAAACCTCCTTGCCTTGCACCAGCAAGCCACAGTAAATGTCATTGCCTACAATAGTAATGGGTCTGTAGTACCTACAAATGATGGTCTGACACAAGATGAGCGTCAAGTGGTCCCACATTCTGCACGACAGGAACCCCAGGGCCAGGAGCTGCAAGTTGACAATAGTGTCATGGAGAAACAGCTGCAGACCAGAGCAGCACAAGCACAGAATAATGAGGAACTGCCAACTTATGAAGAAGCGAAGGTCCAATCACAGTTTTTCAGAGGACAGCAACATACAGCAGCAGGAACTGCTTTCTTTGTTACTGGAATAAATAACCAGAAGATGAGAACTGAAGGGCAGTCCACTGTCCAGAGGCTGGGTGCTGGAAAGGTTCACCAAGATGATGGACTTAAAGACTTGAAACAAGGTCATGTTCGTTCTCTCAGTGAACGGCTTATGCAGCTCTCCTTAGCTACGAGTGGTGTAAAAGCACAATCTTCAATTGCAAGTAATGTAATTTCGTCCCAACAGGCGAATGAATTCTACACACATGCTGGGCATGTTTTGTCTCAGACGTCCATAAAGGGAATAGACCCTAGGGGGCCTCCACCTGAATATCCTTACAAAAATATGTCAACTTTACCTGTTACTTCCAAGGCTCAGGACTATGGCAGTTTCTACAGTGACTTTAGACTGGGGGTGACAACAGAGGGTTTGAAGCCTTCCTCAAACTCTCAACAACAGATTAAGCCAGATGCTCCTGTTATGAGATATCAACCGCCTCCTGAGTATGGGGCTGTCAGGTATGTAAAGCGGGATCATTCTAAAATCCTGGTCTCCAATGCAATTTTATCATTATGGGAGAGTAAAGGGCAAAGTCTCAGTTTATGATTTGACATAGAAAGCAGAGTGCAGAAATAAGCCCAGCTCAACAGACATAAATTTATTAAGTCCCACAAAGAATTCCTTCCACTCAGCATAACTTTTTTTTTGTCAATCTCATCTGCTTATCCAACTTCCCTTCAATGGTGCTATTCGTCATTACAACAATTTTTGATAGAATAAAATTTTCCTTAAAAATTTTGAAGATCTTTTGCAATCTTAGAAAACCTCAAAGGGGTCACCTGTCAGTCGTTTCCTCGAGGACGAGCCCTGACGTACTTGATCTTTCCTGTTGGTTATAACCTACAAGTTCAAGTTTCATTCTAGTAAATCCTTTCACCAGTGCCTTCGTATCCTCCTGATAATATGGGAAATCGAAATCTCAAGATTTTTCAAGGAAGGTATAACCAAGGCTGTGTGCAAGTTACATTCCATTACAACACAAAATAAATATTGAATGTGAAGGTGGTTTGTGGTAAGTTGCAGGGTCTTTCTCTTGTGTTGATTTTTCCATGTTAGAATTCAGTGATCATCATTCTTTAACTGAATAGGTCCATTGGAACCAAGCTCACTCCAATTCTTGCTTGATACCCCCACATGCATACTTTCCATCATGGTTTGTTCATTAACATGCAGGTTTTTGTTTCTTTTCCCTTCTGTCTTGCTCGTGCAAGGTGTTGAAGCCATTTTGACTGCTGTCCTGATAGAGATAACCAACCTAGTATGGACAATTGATCAAACCTGTAACCATCTTGGCCTGAGTAGAACTGTACGTATATATTAATTGTTTTGGCCTCAGACTTGTGGCCAACCTGTTCCATAATAGCCTACAGGAAGGGCTGAGAGATTAGGCCATATACCATTCCAACATAATAAATATGTAAGCGGTCAGGGGTGGAGAACAGCAGAGTTTTTGAAGGTTTATAGAACTGGAGGAAGTTACAGTATTAGGTTGGGCAAAGCCATGGAAGTACTTGAGATCTAAGATAAGAAATTGAAACTTGAGGCATTGCTGAACTGGGAACCATTGTAACTTGCTGCATTATGTAGTGATTTAGATGAGTTTAGCTTTATGGAGGTTGGGAGGAGAAAGCTAGCAAAAGAGATTCCAAGTCTTTCTGAATGGCGGTGCTAAAATGGCTCATATGACCGCTTCTTAATATTTATCTAATGAAATTGTAGATGGATCCAACCTTTCCACTTTCCAGAAATCTATTTGGGTTACATTGAGTCCTGCCCTGAAAACATTCTTCTGTTGTTTCAACAGGTGCAACAGTAGAGAAAATAGACCTTGATAGGGGATCATGGAGTTATCTTTTTGGATCTTTCTTTGATCTTTTACTTCTCCCATTATTTTCTGTGACTGATTTACTGTTACAGAAACAAGCTTATATTGTGTTCTAAGGGACCAAAGCTGACAACTCCATAAAGTGCAAAGTTATTTCATTAAAAAATAGAAACTAATTATATTTCTTGAAGGATTTGATTCTGATTCCCGGATGCGAGTAATCCTTCAGTTTCTTTGCTCATCGGATGTTCTTCAGGAATAAACCCATGCAAACACAGTCTGCGGGCTTCTTGACCATTGCAGTTATACATGTATGCAGAGCAGAAAGTTTACTTCCAGATGAATTTTGAACTGAAATTCTTCACATTGATGAGCAGAAACATTTACCAATGTTCCATCTGATCTTTTACTTTTCCAAATATTAGAATACAGTTAGAGGAGTAACTGATGAAATTTTTGGCAGAAATGCAAAAGTATAATTTGTGGCATTTTCACCTGCCATATGTTAATTATCTTTGAGGATTTTATGACTGTAACAACACTGAGTGGGAGCAGAGCAGAACCTCCTTTGGGATCTGTGCACAAGGTAGAGCATTGGATCCTGATGGTCTCCTTTGACTTGGGTCATCTGAGAACATATTACAATATGAAATCATAGCCTTTCTTGTAGAGATCTGCAGTGAGCCCATACTTGTAATTATATTCAGTTTTTACAGTATTCGCTTACAAGCAAAATAAAATCCATTAATCATGGCCACATGTTAGCTGCAAATGCAAGTAAATTTTAATGGGTTGAATTCTCTGCCATGCTGCAGGCTTGAGGGTGTTGGCACATGCTGATTCCTTTTAAATTCAATGAGCTTAATTTAATCATTGGATGTGAGTGTCACAGGCAGTGCCAACATTTTGCCCATTCTTAATTATCCTTGAGAAGGTTGTGGTGAGCCACCTCCTTGGGCTGCGGTACTCTATGTTTCTGTTTGTACACCCGCAGTGCTGTTAGGAAAGTAATGCCATGATTTTGGTCAAACGTTAGTTAAGGAACACCAAGTTGGTTCCATATCGGGATGTTGAGTGTCTTGGAGGGAACTTGTAGCATTGTCATATTCCCATGCATCATTTTTCCATGAAGTAAATGGGAAAACTGCAGAAATTGTAGTTTTGCTCTTTTGTAATATCTATTTGTGCAGCATATTGACCACTTGACTGATGACATTTTGAAAATGGAAGCAATGGAAACAAGTGTCATGAAATCTAAATCTGGGGAGTTCTAATCATCCTAGTCGAATCTTTCTGACCAAATCCAAACTGTTTAGCCTGCATGATCTCTGTTGCTGTTGTTTGATCAAGAGCTGATGCTTTAAATCTTAGTATGAATGCAAATATTTAAGAATACATAGACATTTGATTTGCAGCAGGCTTCAAAGGCATAATGGCTTTAATACATTGAAAAGAATGATAATACATTATTCATACTTCCTTTACTGCATAAAGTGTTAGAAACTGATGTGGAACATTTTTTTTGCTTTCATCTAATATTTCTGACAGGGATAACTAGACAGCCCTGGTCCTAAACCTTCTACCGTGCTCCAATTGAACAAGTATGAGAAGTGCAGTAGCATGCCTGACACAATGTGAATTTTTGTTTCTCTTCTCCTTTCCTTCCTGTAGGGAAACACCTGGCCTCTACTTTGGGCCTTTCCCTGATGACACAGCTGGGATCAGGAACTCAGACACAATAACTTTTTTCTTGGTATTTAAAGTACCTTTCAACATCCTCTTTGGTTCTGTACTGGGATAAGCCAAATTCAAATCCAGCAAGCAGTTGTTTTTTTGAAAAGAAAAATTCCAGGGATGGGCTGTTCTTTCAAATAGACTTTAGAGGCATCAGCAAAGTAATAGCGTGGGAAATTTCCCGCCTGTATTGTTTACCATTGTTGTGTGCCAGTGCTACTACATCCTATTAGTACTCCTGTTAATTGGTCTTTTGTCTCATCACTTTCTTTGTATGTCTCGAAGATCAGTAACAAATGCTAAATCAGGAAGGAGGGAAATTATGGGATATCTGGAAACAGTCAGTGATAGCTTTTAAAGTTGGACAGAGGCATGCCTTACCATCTAGATCGTTATAGGGTTAGGATTCCATAGAAGGAAGGTCGATACTGATGACTCTGCAGAGAGTGGGGCTGGATGAAAGATTACACAACTAATCTATCTGAAGGATGGAGGGCAGTGAAATAACTCTCTCACCAAAATCAGACAGTACGCTGTCTAAAGTGCACTGCTTGAATTCTCAGACAATTGACATCATCGCAGCCTTTGACGTAGCCAATCACACTGTTTTCCTCCAGTCTCTCTCTTCCATTGTCTACCTCAGTGAAGTTGCCATTTCCTGGCACCACTGTTACCCATCCAGTCATAGCTTGAACAAAATGTGCGTTGCATTCTTTTCCCATCTTGTGCCATTATATCTGCGGCCCTCTTCAATCAGTGTTGCTCCCCCTCCTCTACATGTTGCCCCTTGGTGGTGAAATCTGAGGATAGGTTCCAAATTTAAATACTGATGATAGCCAGCTCTACACCTCCATTCCTTGCGTCAGCCAATTAACTGTCTCTGAACTTATTTAACATCATACTAGTTTGCACCCAAAGGCTTTAACTATGTATGTTTCACTCCGCTTCTATGCACGTAAAACCCTCCTCCGTGCCTTTTTTTCGCCCCAGGTTTAACAATTCCACTGCTGTCCTGGCCGATCTACTATCGTTCACCCTCCATAAATTTCAAAATCCAAACTCTGCTAACCTATGAAGTTGTGTTTATTCATTGCATTTTTGCTTACTGAACTAAATAAGCTCTGGCTCTGTGTCTTGGGTTTAAAATTTCCTTCCTCTTGCTTATATCAATTCATGGTCTTTTGGTTACCTACCTCTGTCACCTTTCACAGTCCTACAACTGTCGGGGAATGATTTTTCTGCAACTCTGCCCTGTTGACTAATCAACCTCCGCCATTCCTTTCTTCCCAAACTTGAAAATGCTAACTTACGGCTTGACTCAGGACTCTGGAAATCTCTTCCTAAAGCTCTGTGTTCCATTAATGCTTAATACTCTGATTTGAGTTTTTGATCATTGCACGAATCACACTAAATAAATCATCCATTCTTGCAGGTGTGAATTTTGTTGCAGATTGTTGTAATGCAAAATGGCCCTGTATTGTGTTTAGATTTAAGGCATTAGTTGAGATTGAGCAGAACAATGAGATTGTGTATCATTATGTTTACTGCTTCAAATGAAAGTTTTCCAAGATTGAAATCAGCGGATTTTTCTTTTGAATGTATTCAAACACTGGAAGCAAAGATGAGTAAATGGAGTTATGGCAAAGATTAGCTATAATCTGAGAGATTGGTGTGTTCCTGTTCCTATCCCTGTCCCATCCATCAAAAGTGTCTTTCTAATGCTTTAACTATACCTTTGGTCCTGCCCCATGCGGTCATTCTTCATCCAATCCATGTCCTCTAATTAACCTTCACCTGAATAGCTTGCCTTGCAAGTAAAAACGCTCCATAATAATTGGTCAACAAAGTAGTTCTGGAATCAGATGTGGAAGCAGAGTGCTTGAAAACTGGCGAGTTTGTTTTTCAAACTCTCATACCTGTTTGCTTCAGACATGTCAGCAGGTGTAATTTTTTTTCGGCCCTGCCTCATCTTGTGATGTGCCCTCAAGTTGTTTCTTTCATTACAATGACAGTAGAAAATGCTGTGATTGACAGTAGCTGGAGGGTTGAGGTTATTGCTTAACCAAGCAGTGAAAAGAAGCACACTATGATGTTTGGTTGTTTGCCTGCAATACACCCATTGGTGTGTGTTTATTTAAAAAAAAAATCCACAAGTGTAATCAAATATAATGTACTTGTTTTACCAGTCTAGAAATATTTGGGGAATTCCATTGGTCACTCTTTCTCATTTAAGTTGCTCGTAAAAGGTAAGTCATGCACTTGGGACAGGCATGTCAGAATAGCAAGAAGAAGTGACATTACTTCTGGTAAAACAACTGAAGCTTCTGAAGTCCTGTGCACTTCAGATTTGCACAAGAAGTGTGTTATAATCCTTCTTTTGAAATGGTGGCAATCTGTTAGTTAGATTGGCATATGCAGCAGTACATTGGATGGAAGATGACAGTTCTTCATGTGAACAGGAATGGTATCAAATGTGACAAAACTGTTCCCTTTACGCAAAGCTGCAGTTTATTCACTACATGGTATCTGTAATATGATTGTGAATACGCAGTCATTGATATTAGCCTTGAACATACTCAGTCCATTTCCTGGACAGTTGAGGGAATTGAGTGATATTGGGATCAGATGGGAAAACTGAGTTGAGGTCAATGATTGGCTGGAATCCTATTAAATGATGAAGCAGCAGTGAGGGGGTTTATGATTTGCATTTGTTCTGTCTTTTATGTTCCACTTATTGTTATGTACAAGTAGTAGTCGTTTTTTTCATGTTAACAGGCAAACTCAAGAGGGGTCAACACATCAGCAGTTGCAGTTACAGCAGCGAAACTATCAACACAGCCCATCGTCATCTCAGACATCAATGGGATCTACGTCAGTGATGCAGCCACCACCCTCACCGAGTCTGTTGGCTGCTCAACACCAACAGAACCCCCTTGCAAGCCACCTGAATCAGCAGTTCCAGGGTGACCCATTGGCCATTGTCTTGCGAGCTCAGCAAATGGTAGAAATCTTATCTGAGGAAAACCGTGCTCTTCGACAGGAGTTGGAGGGATACTACGACAAAGTAGCTAAATTACAGAAGGTGATACATGTTCTGTTAGCAGCATTTGCAGTACGTGTAGCATAAATGAGTAATTGCTTTCTTATAGCATCTTAGGCAATCTCCAAGAGGATTTGATGATGAGGCACGTTATGGATATTGCTCGTTTATCCTTGGAGCTGAATTCAAAATCATACCTTGGAGAGAATAGGGTAATAGTTTCTCAGAGTCACTTCAATTAAGTAGATTTGGGGCAGTGGCAATCTCTGCAGGCACAGGTCCATATCCTGAAACTGCCCTTAAAGTGGCAATAAATTAATGAAATCTGTCTGGAAATGAAAATGGACCTCGCCTAGAAATGGAAATGATGCTTTAGGCTGGCTTAAGGCTTATTTTTAAGATAAATTTGAGATAAAACCTGTCAGATAATGCTTTGCAATCTAATATTTTGTGACTTTGTTTGTAAGTGCTCTGTTTTGCTTTGATTGTTTGGTATAGTATGTAAGCTCACTGATATCACTACACCAAAGTCAAATTCTTCAAGAGAGCTGACATTTTGGGGAAATCTAATTTTAGCTCAGTTTCAAAAACCAACTTAATGAGACATCTGACACTGTTGATGGTTGGTGTATCAGTTGTTTTGGTTTATGTTTCATTACTTGGACGATTTTTTTCATCTCCAGAATGAAGACGACTTTTTCTAAACTAGATTAGAGGGGCATCTGGTTCATGTGTGCTCCCCCGACAGAGCTGGCTTGAGCGCAGCAATCCACGGTGAACACTCAGACTGTGATCAGATCTAGAGACAGTGCGGTTAACACTGGAGCAAATTGAGATGAGTTGAGGGCTTAATTTTATGTACTCCAGCCCCATGAAAACTAAATAATTTTCATCTCAGCTGAGATTTTAGGAAGAGGATGATGCTCCTGAGGAGAAAGCCAGGAAAAAGATAGGGAAATCAATCAACAATTACTCAAGGCTGCTGTTTTCTGTAGTCTTTTGCTGCTTTGATGCTTGATATCTAAGCTTGCAAATGGCACATAGCATGCATAGTTCAAAACAGAGGATGTTACTGTAAAACATGTGGGATGGAAACACAGTCCATTTCTTCCATAAATTTTATGTCATTCTCTCCATAATGAATTTGGTCATTTAATTCTCTAGTAACCAAGTGGTTATGTTCCAGAATAAGCAACCGAGAGTCATAAGTTCACCTGTACCAGTTATGAAATTGAACTCTGTAATTATGATAATTTGCGTGGTAACACCAGAAAAAAAAACCTCAAAAATGAGTTCATTGTCAAAAAATCTGACTGGTTCTTTAAAAGGCAGGAGACTATCACAACAACCTATTCTGACTTCAGCCTCACAGTGTGTTGTTTACAACAGCTAGTTTTTTATGAAGTCCCTTTAATGTAATAAAATATCCCAAAATATTTCATAAGAATGATATAGCAAAACTTGGCTGATCCACATCTGGAAGTATTAGAGGGGGGTGGGGGCATAATAAGGAGCCTGTTAAAGGAGGAAAGAGAGGTAGAAAGTTTTTGGAGAGGGTGTTCTATATCTATGGATCTTGACAGCTGAAGGTACAGCCACCAACAGTGTTGTGATTAATATCAGGGATGCACAAGACGCCAGGATTAGTGACGCACAGATATCTTGGAGAGCTGTAAGGATGGAGGAAGGATAATGGAGGGTGGAACCATGGAAGTACTTGAACACAAGAATATGGATTTTAAATTGACTTATTACTTAACTAGGATCTAGTGTAGACCTTTTGAGCACAAAGGATAATGAGTGGACAAGAGTTGGTGTGATAGAGCATGGGCAACTGAGTTTTGGATGAGATAGTAAGAACTGCCAATGCTGGAGTCAGGGATAACACAGTGTGGAGCTGGAGAAACACAGCAGGCCAGGCAGCATCAGAGGAGCAGGAAAGCTGACGTTTCGGGTCGGGACCCTTCTTCAAGGTAGAATGTTGGAGGCAATCCAGGAGTGTGTCAGAAAAGTGGTTCTTAAATAGTGATCTGGTCCACAGGCTGGTCCAAAATGCAAGTTACTGCAAGTTTGTCACTGCAGTTAAGGTTGGTCTGTAAACACCATGTGTATTCAAATTATTTATTTATTTAAAAATGTTTCCGTATTAGTCTCTTGCCTTAAAATAATTACAGTAAAATTTTCAGAGTATTTGTGTCATGATATGTTGATAGTTGCAGCACTGACTGCTCTGACCATTGATCTGAGGTTTTCCATATGCCTAGCTCCCAGATATTAATATACTCCCGAGAACCTTTCTGTTTTAATTTCTGAAAGACGGTGTTACAGGACTATTATTGTCGAAAAGTTTTCCTACAGGAATGGAGTGTTAGTGAATCATCAAATCCAGCAAGTCCAGAAATTTGAAAGCAAGTTGACAGAAATCTGATTCTCGTCACCTGGGGATTCCATTTCAAAATTTGATTTGAGTCTAGTAATTTGCTAATGTGTGTTTGATATACTCAACATACTGCACTTTAGAAATTAGAACAGTTCCAAACTTGGCTTCAGTCCGCAGTCGTACTATCTTGAACTGGTCAAAAAATAATGGTTCCTGTTTCTGAACCAACTACATTACTTGTATCTGTTTCGAGCTCCTGAATGTATCATGCATATACTATGAATCTATTCCTTCAGGCACTGGTGAAGGAACTGATTGTAAATTTTCTTCTGATGTAGTTGGAGATGGAAATTGAGAGGGTTTCAGAAGCTTATGAAAACCTGGTGAAATCTTCTTCCAAGAAGGAAACCTTGGAAAAAGCCATGCGGAACAAGTTGGAAGGTGAAATCCGCAGACTTTATGACTTCAATCGAGATCTAAGAGGTAAAATGTGTCTTAATGCTTCAGTAGTTTTATATTTGGTGACTTGGTCCATCCCATGATGGCAATGTTCTTCACTGTTGCTCACCTCACACAGAATCATAGACAAATGTCTGCCTTTCTGTGAAAAAGAGTGATGCATTACTGAACAAGTAAAGCTAATTAGCATGAAGGGAGTTTATAAAATAAGATTAAGTTTATGAATGCTGGCTAGCAAAAAATTCTTTCTACTGGATAGAAAATCTGCAGCGACGATGCATTAAGTGTTCATTATGATAGGAACAAAGGGAAAAATTAGTTTCTATTTAGGTAAAGGTTATAGAATTATCGAATGTGTTTAACCGTCAGCAGCAGGTAAGGTAGATGCAATGATACCATTTAATAGGGAAAAAGGCCATGGGGCTAGAGTAGGCCATCTGGCCCATTGAGTCTGCTCACCACTCAATGAGATCATGACTGATCTGATCATCCTCAGTGCCACTTTCCTGCCTTTTCCTTCATAATTCTTGATTTTCTTATTGATTAAATACAATAATTATTTGAAAAAGGATATAAACAATTCATATAAATGGGATTGGGATGGTTATTGCCAATATTATGATATTTGACTGAGCAAAATGGTTCTCTGCTTGCTTCCCTGCTATACATGCTTTGGCTCTTTAATATTCTACCTTTTGAAACTGCAAAGAAATGTTATGGTGGTGCTACCTGGGTCATGGAGGTTGGCGAAAACCCTATGCCTGTCTTAACATAAATGAAGATATTGATCAACTGCTCTGAAATCTATCTAATTTGTAGCCTCAGTTCTTTAGGAGCTAACTAATTGAATATTTTCCTCATTCACCTGCCTGTGCAGTTGTTTTGCTGATGTAGTGTACAATGATGATTTGTGTGTGTTTTGAGCATGTTTCATTCCTTGAAATATCAGCCAATGTTTGAGAGTAAATAGTTAGACTTCTAACTCTGGAAAGAATGTTGACGCACTTTATAAATTGAAGTATTTTGTTTGTGGCCTTCCTTGTGTGTGTAGCATATCTTGAGATCTTGCACCCAGAACCTCAATGACAATAACTTTTATTATGTTAAGCTAGTGTATAAATACAGAATCCAGGAGGTTTTTGTGAAGCAATGTGTGAACAGCCCAACTAGGAGAAGGGGCCATACCAGAACTGATACTGGGGACTGAGCCAGCCAGGTGATCAGTGGTGTGTTTTGGGAAGAGTGACCATAATTCTGTAAGTTTTAAGTTACTTACGGATAAGGATAAGAGTAGTCCTCTGGTGAAAGTACTGAATTGGAGGAAGGCTAACTATGACAATATTAGGCAGGAACAGGGGAATGTAGATTGGGGGCAGATGTTTGAGGGTAAATCCACATTTATCATGTGGGAATCTTTTAAAGGCCAGTTGGTTAGAGTTCAGGACTAGAATGTTCCTGTAAAAATGAAGGATGAGGGTGGCAAGATTCGGGAACCTTTGACGAGAAATTGTGAGCTTAGTTGTAAAGAAAAAGGAGGCATTCGTAAGGTTTAGGCAAAGACAGGCAAAGCCCTTGGAAAAATATAAAGAAAGCAGGAAAGACCTTAAACAAAGAGTTAGGAGGGCTAAAAGAGGCCATGAAATTTCCTTGGCAAGCAGGATTCACGAAAATGCAAAATGTTTTATATGTATATAAAGATCTAGAGGGTAGCTACAGAAAGGATAGGTCCACTCAAGGACGAAGGAGGGAATTTGAGTGGAGCCGGAGGAAGTGGGTGAGGTCCTTAATGAGTATTTTGCATTCATATTCATAAAGGAGAATGACATGGTGGATGTTGAGTCTAGAGAGGGATATGTTAATATTCTAGGGCAGGTCAGTATAAAAGTGGTGGTGGTGTTGGGTGTTTTGAAAGGCATTAAGGTAGACAAACTCCTGAAGGGATCTATCCCTGAATACCGAGGGAGGCAAGAAATGCTATTGCTGGGGCCTTTTACAAAGTCTTTGTGTCCTATTTTAGTCACAGGAGAGGTCCCAGAGGACTGGAGAATAGTCAATATTGTTCCTTTGTTTAAGAAGATATAGCAGAGATAATCCAGGAAATTCCAGGCTGGTGAGCCTTATGTCAGTGGTAGGGAAATTATTGGAGAAGATTCTTAGGGACTGGATTTACTCACATTTGGAAAAATATGGACCTATTAGTGATACGCAGCATAGCTTTGTGCGGGGAAAGATGTGTCTCCCAAATTTGATTGTTTTGAGAAATTGAAAAAGATGATCGAGGGCAGGGCAGCAGACTTAATCTACGTGGACTTTAGCAAGGCCTTTGACAAGGTCCCTTGTGGCCGATTTAAAAAAAAGTTGACGTCACACGGGGTCTGTGGTGAGCATGTAAGATGAATACAAAACTGGTTTAGTCATAGAAGACAGAGTAGCAGTGGAAGATGTTTTTCTAATTGGAGATCCTTGACTGGTGGTGTTCCACAGGGAACAGTGCTGTGTCCCCTAATGTCTGAGACATATGTAAGTGATTTGGAGGAGAATGTCGATGGTCTTATTAATAAATTTATGAATGAGACTTAAGATTGGGGGAGCTGCAGATAGTGAGGATTGCAAGAGGAGACAGCAGGATGCAGATAGGCTGGAGCCTTGGGCAGAGAAGTGGCAATTGGAATTTATTCTGGACAAATGTGAGGTGATGCATTTTGGAAGATCTAATGCAGGAGTGAAGTATACTGTAAGTAGCAGAATCCTTAATAGCATCAGCATACAGAGGGATACAAATGTACAGGTCCACAGTTCCCTGAAAGTGATAATGCAAGTGGAGAAGGTGGTCAAGAAGGCATATAGCATGTTCGTGTTCATCTGTTGGGACATAGAATATAAATATCAGCAAGTCATGTTGCAGCTGTACAGAACTTTAGTTCGGCCCCATTTGAAATATTGTGTGCAGCTCTGGTAACCACACTACCAGCAGGATGTGGTGGCTTTGGAGAGGGCACAGAAATGGTTTAACAGGATGTTTTCTTTTTGGAGGGTATTAGCAATGACGACAGATTGGACAAACTTGGTTTGTTTTCACTTGAACATCAGAGGCTGAGGGGCAACCTGATAGAAGCTCACAAAATTCGAGGCATGGATAGAATGGATATTTGGTACCTTTTTTCCCAGGGTAGAATTGTCAGTAACTAGGGGGCATAGGTTTAAGGTAAAAAGGGGTAAATTTTAAGGGAGATGTAAAAGGCAGGCTTTTTACACAGGGTGGTAAGTGCCTGGAATACATTGCCAGAAGAGGTGGTCAAAGCAGATACAGTAGCAACATTTTAAGAGACAGAAGTATGAATAGGTAGTGGATAGAGGGATATGGATCACCTAGAAGCAAAAGGTTTTTGGTTCAGAACGGCATAATATGTCTTTGTGGGCTTGGTGAGCCATAGGGCCAGTTCCTGTGCTGTATTGGTCTTTGTTCTTTGTCCCACAGTACTTTCCAGAGGCGTTATATGGCTCTGTATATTAGAGCAGATGACTGCAAGTTGGCAAAGTGTTGGATGTTAAGGAAAGTCTTGAAGGATTGCATCACGTAGAGGCAGTAAGGTTAAGCAAGAGAATTCTAGAGCTCAGGACTGAGACAACTAGAGGCATAGACTCTCGTGGTGGAGTGATTAGAATTGGAGAAGTGAGGGTGGATCAGAGTATTGTATGACTGGAGGGGATTACAGATATGGAGGGGCCAGTTTGTAGAGGGATTTGAATGAGAGTTTTAAAATTTTTGTATTACTTAACCAGGAGCCAGTCTAAATCAGAAAGCACAGGTGTGATGGGTGAATGGTATTTGGTGCAAGTTACATCAGCAGATTTTGGATGACCTCAAGTTTAGAAGATAATATGTGAGAGACCACTTGGATGTATGATACAATAGTTAAAAAATAATGAAGACACAGATGAGGGTATCAGCAGAAGGGCTGAGTCAGGGGCTATGATAGGTGATGCTAGAGATAGAAGCAGGGCGCTCAGTGATGTCTCAGATATGTTGTTGAAAGCTCATGTGAGGGTCACATGTCACCGTGAAGTTGCAAACAGTCTGGCTCAATCTCAGAAAGGTGCATTTGAGAAGATGGAGTTGATGATGGGGTGGATTATGTGTTGGGGATAGAAGACACTGTTTTTGGCCTTTCCAATATTTTGTTGGAGGAAATTTCTGTGTATCCTGTAATAGATGTTGGATAAGCAGTCTGATAATCCAGCATTGTGCTTTCAGCTAAAGAAAGGAGAGGACCAAGGATAGATTCCTGGGGAACCCTAGGAGTAGTTATCATGGATGAGAAGAATGGCTATTGATGGCTGTGAAGTAGGACAAATGGGACCCAGGGTTGAACTAATGAATAGCAAGTTTAAGATGAATGTGAGACAATAACTGTGTATAAACTGATCAACAAATGGAGTAAATCTACAGATAGACGAGTAGAGGCATATGATGAAATGATTTTAAGCAATAGAATACGGTGATGCTTAGTATTTGTTGATGGATGAACAAAGATTGGTGAAATGGCCTAGTTAATTTGCCTGACAAAGTTCCATTTTCCCTCTCTGCTTTTGCTTTATTTGCTTTTGTTCTCGCCTTTGCATTGTATTTTCACCCAAAACTTTTTGTTCTCCTAAACTTTTTCCAGCCTTTTAGCTTATTTTGCTTTCAACATTAACAAATTGCATATACTTCGGTTTTGTTCTACAAAGATGTCTCTCAAAATGTGAAGAGTGATACCATCAGAATCTAGAGTGTTCAGAAGTTGGTCAAAGTGCCCTATTTGGAAAACGACTCTAAAGGTTGCAGAGGAAGGTGGCATTGTGTGGTAGGAATGCTGCAGGTTATATGGCACGGAGACTGAAACCTTTGTCTATGAAAGGGAGGGAATGGAGACTGCAAAGAAAGTCAGAGTCCATGCAATGAGATACAAATGCAAGTATTTAGGGTGGAAGAATTCACCAAGAAGCCGAGGTATATAAAAATAAATAATATTAATTGTAAGCTGTGGTTCTCATGCTTTTTCTCCTCTCTGTTTCTGTTGCTCTTTCCATTATTACTGTAATACATGAATGAACACTATTGCAGTTTAGCTGTTTGTAAAAAAAAATTTCTCAAGTAGTGCTATACATTTGTTGTTTATGTCTTGCATGTACAAGTGACTCATCACTGGATGAATAGGATAGATATTTATAAAGCAAAATAAACATAATAGATGTAACGAAATCGTTTTAAAAAACAAAGTGACATTCTGCAAAGTAGGTGAGAAGGGGAAGTGAATGAGAGTGTGCAGAACATGAAAATAGAGTTTCAAATGAGCTCATCAGACTGGTATTCAGTAATTTAGACAAGTGAAGACGCATAATAAATTTTCCTAAGCCAGCATAAATTTCAATAAACCTGCACTTGTGATATTACAAAGGAGTATAATATTTTTGTTATTTTTTACAGTTGTAAGTACATGAGAATTTTATCATAAATAGGATAATCATGGAGGGACTGTAAAGAATTTTGGTTATAATATTTTTCTGTACAGCAACTATTTAAAAATTGACACCAATTGCCAATTTATAGGGCAGCACCACCATTTTGGTTTAAAATCTTCAGGAATTTGACATTTGTTCTGATGTAGTAGTCTGTACTGGAGTGATATGAATTACACATGGATATTTATTACCAAATATGCCATCAGAATCTCTTTGTTAGAATCCAGCTTGCAATTCGCTTCTAGATATCCATTAATATGTAATTTAAAATTTATGTTGAATTTTTCCAAGCTATACTTCGGTTGTAATTTGAGTATACCAGGTCAGTCAGTATTTGAATTGACAACCATTGACTTGGTGTTTCATCTCTCTCCAAAATAGAGGGCCAGGTCTACAGGTGCACTTATGCTAGAAAACAGCTTTGGAAGTAATTCTGCCATTATGGTTGTGGCCTCCTGTTACTGTAGAAACTGCTTGTTTGTATTGCAGGGAACCATTAACAGTGGGGAACTTTCATTTTTAAACAACTGTACATCATGCTAGTACATATGCAGTTGTTTTTTATCAATTACATAGGATTTCATGCAGGATATGTGGCACAGAAACTGCAGTTCAACCCAAGCAGCCGGTGCTTCTGTTTATGCTTCACATGTATGTTCTGTCATGTAAATCTTCCAATGTAACCTTCTCCCTCAAATGTTTGTCTAGCTTTCCTTTATGCTGATTTCTGTAATTATTCTCTGTAGTAGTAAGCTGCTGATTCCAACCACTCTCCTTGTATAGATTATTCTGAATTTTCTGATGGATTTCTTGGTGACTATCTTATGATAGCTTCTAATTCCACTCTTTCCAACAAGAGGAATATTCTTTCTGTATCCACTAATAATTCTAAAGACCTTTATTGGCAAATACGATCTTTTCCTGATATTTATACAGCCTCATTTTTGATATCACTCTTGTAAATCGTATCTATATAGAATAGAATTAGAATTAGCTTTATTGTCACGTGTACTCATGAGTACAGTGAAAAGTTTGCAAGCCACCAATTATGATGCCATCTTGGGTACAACGCTACCTAGGTACAGATTCTTAAGTATAAATTCTTAGGGAAAAAGTTAGAAAAATAAAGAAATAAAAAGTCCAGCACTACAGACCTTTTGTGCCATCTTAAGTACAAAAGTACAAAATCATAGGAATAAATTGGAAAAATAAAGAAATAAGAAGTTCAGAAGAACAGTCCTCCCAACCCAGTCTGTGCCAGCTCTTGCCTTGAGGCTCTTAATGCTGGGAGTCTGCGCTGAGGCTAGGAATCCATGATGAATTCAGTCAAGGCTTAAGGATGGGAAGTAGGAAGAAAGAAGAGAAAATAAAGCCTACGAAAAGAGGAAAAACAAAAGAAATGGACGGAGCAGACAAACCTCAGCTGTGGAGACCTACACTATTGCCATCTTAGTGACCAGAACTTCATAAGTGACTTCAAGTGTTGTCCACCCATTGTTTGGTACAGGTTAGGATAACTTCCTTACTTTCCAATCCAATCCAATCCTTCCGAAAATGAAGCTTAGAACTTGGTTTGCTTTTCTTTTAAAAGGCCTTGCCAACTTGTGGAACAACTTTTAGTAATTGGTGTAATTGTAATCTTGGATCTCTTTGTTTTTGTACTCAACTGTATTTGTACTTTCCACGTATGAGATGACCTCCCTCACTTTCTTTACCAATCATTTGCTCATTATTGAAGGTTAGATATTTTCAAACAACCTGTTCAAATATGCTCATGACACATCACTGGAGCAGATTGAACTTGAACTTTTGGCTCAAGTAGGGGCACTGCCACTTTGTTCTGAGCCCTTACATTCTGCAAGTTTATTAATTTTTTTTCCAGTTTGTTGCAGTCTTGCTCAATCCTCCCCTGATTTTATATTACTTACAATTTTAGAAAGTATATTTAGAGTCCAAAATCCAAATTTTTGGCGCTAATATTCCAGGGTGGTGATCCAGCACTGATCCATCTGGAACACCAGTTCCCACTTTCTATTACTCTAAATACCTATCCTTTACCAATGCACCCTACTTTCTGTCTTGACGGCAATTTGTGATCCATTCTGCTGAATGTCTGATTTCACATTGTCTGACATTATTCAGTAGTCCATTATGGGTATTTTGTTGAAGGCCTTTTGAAAATCCAGATGAATTGTATTTATTGCACACCATTGTGTACTCCCTGTTAACGCTTTTTAAAAAAAGTCAGTAAGGTTGGTCAAACAATATTTTACTTTTCAGTTTCTAAATTTTTCTTTCAGTCTCTGAGGATTCTATTATTTTTCCTACATTTGATCAGCTGACTGGTCTGTAATTTCCTGGATGTGTCATATTCTTAAATATTGGAATTACATTAGTTATTGCTGTACTCTGATACTGTACCTTTTTCTAACAAATGATTATACATGGGTAGTGATACCTCTACGTCTCCTTCCTGAATTCTTCTAATATACGTATATCTAATTCATCCAGACGAGTGACTTTGTCCTTTCAAGTTTTAGTTTGTTCAATGAACCTGTATTTTAAATACACTTATCTCATTCTTAAAAGTGCGACTCTTAATTTTAAAGCAGTGTCCCCTAGTTCTGGACTCCTCAGTGTGGGGGGGCTTTGAGTACAAGTGAGGCCACAGCAAAGTTACATTAGTGGCAAAGTGGCTATTTGAAAAGGTTAGTTTTAACCAGTGGCAACAAACACAAAGTAGGCTTGTCACAAGAGGTTGAGAAGCCTAGAAGTTACCTGTTGATCGGTTGGTGCTCAACTTCAAGTGAAAACAAGTTTTAAAAACAACTATTTACATGAACGTCCACGGCACTGACAGGCTGTATAAACACCAGATCATAGATTTTAAAAGCTTATTGTTGTGGGAACTACTTTTGTGGTAACCAGTTGGTTACTGTAGCATTGACACCAGAGCTGGTTTCTCAGAACTAGAATCATAGAGATTTTCAGCACAGAAACAGACCCTTCGGCCAACTTGAAAATGCCGACCAGATATCAGAAATTAGTCTGGTCCTATTTGTAAGCATTTGGCCTATATCCCTCTAAACCCTTCCTATTCGTATACCCATCCTGATGCCTTTTTAAATGTTCTAATTACACCAGCTTCCTCCTCTTTCTCTAGCAGTTCATTCCATATACGCACCAACCTCTGCTCGAAAACGTTGCCCCTTAGGTCCCTTTTAAATCTTTCCCCTCTCACCTTAAACTTGTGTCCTCTAGTTTTGGACTCCCCCCACCCTGGGGAAAAGACCTTGGCTATTCATCCTATCCACACTCCTCATGATTTTATAAACTTCTGTAAGGTCACCCCTCATCCTTCAATGCTCCAGGAAAATAGCCCCAGCCTGTTCAGCCTCTGCATATAGCTCAAACCTCCAACCCTGGCAACATCCTTGCAAATCTTTTCTGAATGCTTTCAGGTTGAGCAACATCTTTCCTATAGCTGGGATGCCAGAATTGAATGCACTATTCCAAAAGTGGCCTAACCAATGTCCTGTACAGCCGCAAAATGACCTCCCAACTCCGGTACTCGGTGCACTGACCAATAAAGGCAAGTGTACGAAATGCGTTCTTCACTACCTATGCCTACCTGGGATTCCACTTTCAAGGAATAATGATCCTGCACTCCAAAGTCTCCATTTTTTTGGCAACAATCCCCAGGACCTTAAGTGTATAGGTCCTACCCTGATTTGTCCTACCAAAATTTAGTAGCTGACATTTATCTAGATTAAACTCCATCTGTCACTCTTCAGCTCATTGGCCCAACTACTTGAGAATAGTTTTGTAATATTGCTATGCTGCAAAATGCAGCAACTAATCCAGGCTCCTTTGACAACAGATTCCCATCTTGCAACCTATCCCCTAGAAGGACAAGAGCAGCAGATGCAAGGGGACACCATAACTTGCAAATTCGCCTCCAAACCACACATTATCTTGATTTGGAACTGTATTGCTGTTGCTTCTCTGTCACTGGGTCAAAATCCAGAATTCCACTTCTTAAATTCATTGAGTATCCCTGAACTTCAGGCACTCCAGTGGTTCAAGAAGGCAGCTCACCACCACCTTCTTGAGCACAATTATAGATGTGCAATATGTGATGGCTTAGTTAGAAAGCCCATGTTCCATGAAAAAATATTTTTAAAAAAACCATTCAGTTCTTCTCAATGTTCACTTGCCTTCAAGATTTTGTTGTTTAATTTTCTTGCATTCTATGAATTGTAGATCGACTGGAAACTGCTAACAAACAGCTTGCTGTTAAAGAATGTGAAGGTTCTGAAGACAGCCGAAAAACTATTGCTCAGCTCATTGGGCAAAGTAAGTGGCCTTTTCTTGTTTGAATTGTGTGAAACCATTAGTTAATTCAATAACCAAGGCTACTGCTAAAGCGTGGGAACTAATGCACAATCACTCAACATCTGAAAGGATTCTGTTCTGACATTGTCACTGGCCTTTGAAGTCGAAAGTTGAATGTGTCATTGCAAAGCTGAGTACATACAGTAAAGATTTTAGTGGCTATTTCTATGATTGCCTTTTGACCTCATTTAAATGCACATGAGTTCCTGAAATAAAAGACTATAAAGATATATCGTTGCCAATATCATACTGGCTTCCAGGCTCTGCAGAACAAAATAGTAATTGTTGATATCTTCCAAAGTGCAACTCTGGATGTACTCCAGCTATTATTAAAATGATCAATTTTATTTTTGTGGAAGATATTCAGATAAGTTGTTCCTTTTCCTATTTTGTACTTTATTTATCTGGCTGTCCTGGTGCTTGAAGCTAAGACGATCAGTGTTGAGCTTTTTGGTGGACTGCTGCTGTTATCTGATTGTAGCCAACCACCACAATGATGCCGAAGATTGCTCACGTATGACTATTCCCTTTGAAATTTTCTACCCTAACTTCCAGGAGGTAATACATCACTCAGTATGGATCAGATTGAAATTACATTTGTCCCTGTTCTGTTTGCTGTGCACCATAACATTTTGACACAATAGCCCATAATGAAATTGATTGTACTGATGGTGGTGGTATTGGAGGTTCATTTAAAATTCTTCAGTTGTGCTCATATGGCCGCAGAGCATTGATTAACATCTTGGCTGCTGATTGTGACACACAGTTCAATCTCCAATGACTGCTGTAGTTTCTGAGAAACTTAGTACAAACGCAAGCAGTATTTTGAATTTCAATTGTAATGATACCTCAGTTCTAAAGTCAATGCTTCCTGTTTTATTGATCATCACTAGAATTTTGGCAAAGCATATTACAAATGTGTGAAATTTTAATGCTTCATGTCCACTTGAATTGTGAACAGTATCTTTCGTAAGCTTGCAAGAAATATCAAGATCTCCTTTAAAAGTATGAAAAGGAAGAGAGAAACCAAAGTGAACAAAGGCTCTATAGAGAATGAAGTTGGGAAAATAATAATGGGGAATCTGGAAATGACAGAGGAGTTAAATAAATACTTCAGTCTTTACAGCATCAGACACTAATAGCATTCTAAAATTACTAAATAGCCAAGAGGCAAATGGATGAGAGGAAGTAAATGCAATAACTGTCATGAGAGAAAAAGTGCTGGGAAAATTAATAGGGCTAAAGACCGATAGTCACCTGGACCTGTGGATGTATCCTAGGATATTAAAGTAAGTAGCTACAGAGATAGTGGATGCATTGGTAGTAATCTTCAAGAATCTTCGATTCTGGAAAAGTTCCAGAGGTTTAGGAAACTGTTAATGCAACATCTTTAGTTAAAAATATTAGGAGACAAAAAATGATAACTACAGGCCAGTTAGCTTAATGTCTATTATTAGGGAAATGTTACAGTCTGTTGTGAAGGATGTAATAGCAGAGCGTTTAGAAATACATAATATAATCAAGTAGAGACAGCATGGCATCATGAAGGGGAAATCATGCCTGACAAATTTACTTAGCGTTCTTTGAGGGTGTTATAAGTAGGACAGATAAAGGGGAAGCAGTGGATGTAATATGTTTGGATTTTCAGAAGACATTATATAAGGTGCCACACATTTAGATTGTTTAATAAGATGAGAGCCTGTGGCATTGGAAATAGTGTATTAACATGGTTAGAAGATTGGTTGACTTATAGAAGAGAAACAGTTGGGGTAAGGGCGTTTTCAGGATGGCAGCCTGTAACTAGTGGTGTGCCACAGGGATCAGTGCTGGGTCCACAATGATTTGCAATATATATTAGTGACTTGGAAGAGAAAAGTTAATGTATTGTAGCCAAGTTTGCAGATGACTCAAAAATAGGTGGGAAGGCAAGTGGTAATGATAGCACAAAATGTCTGCAGAGGGGTATAGACAGGTTAAGCAAGTGGGCAAACATCTTGACAAATGTAATGGAACATAATGTGGGAAAATGTGAAGTTAATCAGTTTGGAGGGAAGAGCAGATGAACTGAATCATATTCAAGTGGAGAAAGGCTGCACAAAGCTATGGAACCAGAAGGATTTGAGAGTCCTTGTCCAAGAATCATAATACGGTAGCAACCAAGTTCAGCAGGTAGTAAGGAAGACAAATGGAATGTTGGACTTTATTTCAAAGGAAATGGAGTATAAAAATAGGGAGGTTTTGCTAAAACTGTCAAGGCAGTAGTCAGGCCACAGCTGGAATACTGTGAACAGTTCTGCCCTCCTTATCTAAGGAAAAATATATTGGTAATGGTGGCAGTCCAGAGAAGGTTCAGTAGACTGATACAAGGGATTGATAAGGAGAGGTTGAGTAGGTTGGCCTTGTTCTTGCTGGAATGTAGAAGAATGAGAGACAACCTTATTGAAACATACAAGATTCTTTGAGAAGTTGGGTAGATGCAGAAAGGTTGTTTCTCCCTTGTGGGAGAGAGTCTAGGATAGGAGGGCATAATCTCGGAGTGTGGGGTTGCACGTTTAAGACACATGAGGAATTTCTTCTCCAAGGGTAGCAAATCTGTGAAATTCTTACTGCACAGGGCTGTCGACTCTGTATTGTTAAGTGTGTTCAAGGTTGAGAAAGACATTTTTAATCATTGAGGGAATAGAGGGTTTATGGGGAAAAGGTGGGAAGTAGAGTTGAGGATTATCAAATCACCCACAGTCTCTTTGGCAAGGCAGATGTGATTGGCTGAATGGCCTACCTCTGCTCCTGTGTCTTGTGTCCTACCATTGCAACCATGTGTTCCATCCTTCCACTTCTGTAGTGTCAGAGTATTCCGTGAGAATGGTTTCAGGTCACTGATGCAAATAACATTGTCTAATAAGCTCTTTGTTTTTCAATGTGCATTATAATATAAAGTCATATTGGGACAAATTTGCTTTTCTAATTTTCTATTACATTAAATAACTAGTAACAACAGTTATCAATTTTTCGAACATATTCTAACAAATGAGTTCCTGATACCACCACGTGCTCTGGACCCTGCTGCCACTGAATGTTGTTATTTTTAAATGTGTAGTTTTTATTTAAAAGTTATAATTAGGTCTGTAATAAATTTGGCACAACATACTGTATTGTGTCTAAGGTTGTCTGCTCCATTCTTTAGGGGGACATAATTTGTTCAATTACAACTCTTGACATCCATCATTGCTTAATTTAATCCATCCTATTGCTTTAATCACACAATAACTTCCTTTAAATAAAAGCCCTCATGGCATTTTTTGGGGAAAAATTGTTTGAAACTGACTTTATAACTGCATTATTCTAGCAATGTGTTATCGGCCTGAGACTTATCTGTGTTAAATGTGTAAGCCTCTGAATAATCAATTCCAAGTGTTGCTTTGATTTTCCATATACGAATACAGTCAGAACTTGAAGGTATTCCCACACCAACGTGGCTGGCAAGTTTAATCTTTGAATCCCCAAATGCTGTGCATTTTATTTCCAAGAGCACAATCTCTGGAATGTGCGGTGAGCTTTGATGTGCTGCAGGCACCCTGTCTCTTTGCTAAAAATGGTGTCCCAAGCTTCGCTTTATACAAGGGGAACTATTCAAGTGCGCAGTTTAGTATAATACAGGCAACCAAGTAAGGAGGCAGCAGTTGTCAGAATAATTGAAGACCAAAGAATATTTGCATGTGTTTTCCCCCCTTTTTTCCTTTGTTCCTTGGTAAAAGCAGATGTGATTTTTGATAAGTACAAGTGTAAACAAAAAGAAAGTAAATGCCATTTGCTGTGGTTGTTGCATGTTTTTATAGTTTTGCCAGTCCACCGTATGGAATTGGATATCATTGTCTAATTGATGATTTTTTGATTGTGATGGGATGATATTCTAGCATAATCGTGTATATGTCCTACCTTGATTTCTTGGCTGTTGAGATTGAGAGCGGGCCCCAATACATGAAGACTGCTTGGAGCAGAGTAATGAATTTGGTGATTATGTCTTCTGTGGTTTGAATTTCCTTTTGGCTCCTGAGCTTGGAAAGTACCCCATGCATACCAAGCAGCTAATCAGTAAGTTTCCCACAGAATTCCCAACAAAGGCCCTTTCTTGAACTATATTCAAAGTGTGATTTTCACAGCAGTATTTTTAACATAAAGATCATAATTTTGAAGCTGCGAAAATCCTTGTTATTCAAAGAAAACAAAACCTTGTATTTGCATGCCATTTCTTTTGGATGGTCAGTCTTGTTAGCAGGAAGTCCGTGACTGTGTCGTTTAACTAATAAAATCAGACCCACTTCATTTGCCTTTTCTTTGTTGCAGTGTTGATTTGACTTTAGAGATTCATTAAATGAATAAATCACTTCTTTGTTTCTTAGTTTGGTTCTGATAATGCATCCAGCAAAGATAGCGTCATTGAAATTTCCATTGAGACACATAAATCAAATGTGGTAATCTAATCAGTGGTCTTTCCAGGCTTCCGCCATTCTGGAACCTCTTATCTGCTTGTGACGAGCCAAATTACCTTCCTGGAATGTTCAGCCCACGTTGAACATAACTAAGTTTGTCACTTGAGAAAATTATGACTTGTGATTGTGACTAGACTCTGCATCTGCAGTGTAGATGCTGAACACTGAATGATAGCCTGTTCAGCTGTATTCAGTAAAATGTCAAGTTTAAAACAACAAAAATGCCCTTGAAGTTATTACATACCAATGTTTTTAAGTGCAGTAAGCAGTTGATATTGTGGAAGGTTGAAATCAAATATTCTGAATGTTTAATTATTACCCACAGTTGCTGCATTTTATGACCTATATGTATTAGAAATTTTAGATTGTCCCCGTTATCTCAACTGATAGGTGATATAATTCTGATTTGTGAACTTGAGGAAGGACTTTGGGTTCTGACTTGCAGGTCTTTCAAATCTGCAGTGCTTAATCTACACTGTGTCTTGTGTATTATTTTCTATCAAAGGTCATCTAATAATCAGAAAAATTGTGGTCAAATGGATATTGATAATGTAATAAGTATGCAGTCAAAAGACTGCAAGTCTATTACTGTTGCGTTTCCACCAGAGGTTATTACATTAACAGCTGATGTAAAATAAAAATTTGCACTCTTCAAATTTATACATTACACACTTACAGTATAAACGTTAATACTAGAGAGCAGGACAAACTTGTGTTTAAGATAGTGGAATTATTGCTTGTTGGGGCATTATTTGAAATGAATGTAGAACCCTTGTGAATCCCATCAAGCTCCTTGTGGCATTGAATTCTAGATGTTCACAATTTGCTGCATTTTAAAACAAAACATTCTCATTATCTTTGGTCTAGTTCTTTTGACACTTTAAATCAGACCCTCTAAAGTTCCTGTCATTGGAAACAATTTCTTCCTATTTACGCTATCTAAACTGTTCATAATTTTGAACCCATTTCTTAAATCCCCTAAATTGTCAATAACTGAAGCTTGTAATCCCTGGTATCTTTCTGGTAAAGTTCCTAGGCCTTCTGTGAACCTGAGTTGGAGTTTGATCTGTGTTCTCTCTGAAATCCATCAATGGCACTGGGCAGCTTTGCTCTTATCAAGTTCATACTGTGTGATGTACATCTCCTCTTCTATTTTCTGCAATGCATGGTTATTTCCCCTATCTTTGCCTATGTGAATTCTCCAGATAAAGAAAATTTAAGAGAAAAGGAGAAGCTGGAAATGGAGCTCTCTGCTCTCCGTTCTACCAATGAGGATCAGAGAAGACACATTGAAATCCGGGATCAGGCCTTGAACAATACACAAGGGAAAGTGGTCAAATTGGAGGAGGAGGTAAGAACTGGAATAGGATGATCTTATCTGTAACAATCAATATGATTTTAGAATGTAAAAGCATTGCAATTAACGCCATATAACTATAATAATTTATACATTTTACTAAAGTCATTTATTTTGAATATCCCCTCAGCAATTGATTTTTGGATATAAATGTGTGCACATATGGTCTTCGGTATATGACTCAGCCACACAGAACAGGCAGAACACAGATTTGATCTCTAAGTCTAATTCTGTCCAAATTCTTAAGATAAGAAAGAAATATTAAGCAGGGGTCTCACTCTGTAACAACGTTCAGTATCCCTACCCAAATAGGAATGTGAGTTGTAAGGCGAACATTCTGGTTCTGATACGATTACCCGATGGTGGCTTAATCTGCCACTATGCACTATGACCACAGAGATAGAATGCTCATGTATAAGAGGTCAAGTGGCTGCTCATCCCATAGAACCTCTTACTTCAACTGAGTTAATCCTGCTAGGAGTGGAGACAATTTGGAGAAAGAGGTGAGTATTGTTATTAGGGGAGTGAACTAGCCAGCCCAGATTCTGAAGTGACGGTGTTGACAACTTTTGGAAGTGAAAATTGGACCAAGAAATGTTTGCTTTGCAGTGTTCATTGAATGCATGTTTATTGTCTGTCCTACATTCATGTGTGTAGAAGGTGTTCCATCTGCACAAGATCACATTGGCATTATATCAAATGCCCTTCCCTTACTGGCTGCATTCCAGGGGAAAGATGTGGTTATAACAAATTGGAGATTTGCCTCTGGGCAGTAGTTGCAGCTTTATAGGCATTGATCGAGGACAAGGAGCAGTTCCAACCCTTTGAGGGACTGGTTGGAGACTAGGGAGAGGGAAAAATGGTGGAGTAATTTTTCTATTTCACTTGTTTGACATCCACAATATAGGTTTCTTACTCCCTCAATATTTACTTTTTTTTGATTTCATGCTCTTTTAAGACTGTGTGTGTGTATTTTTGAATCTGGTACAAAAACAGCAAATGCTTGAGAAACTCAACAGGTTCTTTGGAGAGAAAGTAGAATTAATATTTCAGGTCCAGTGACTCTTCTTGAGACCCGAAATGTTAACTGTGCCTTCTCCACAGATTTTGTCAGATCTGCTGAGTTTCTCAAGCAATTTCTGTTTTTGTTTCAGATCTCCAGCATCCACAGTTCTTTATTATTATATTAAATGAATCTGGTACTTTATGCATTTAGAAAATACAATTGCTTTGTATTTTTTAAGCACATTATTTATCCTGTGTCTTGACTGCTCGGTAATTTGTTGTAGTTCTCTCAATTTTTTTAAGCCTGATGGAAGTATTGCACTTCCTGAATATAATTTAGTACATTGTTTGCCTCTTCATTGCAGTCTTGGAGTTCTGTCCTGATAGCTCTGTTGAAAACTAGATGCCTAAATTGGAATAATTAATGAAGAAATCTAGTCACTGTTGTAACAGCAATGCTTTAAGAATTAAAGTTACAATTAAGTAACATTTGTATGATTGGACTTTTTTTCATGCATTTCGAATTCTATTTAATCTTTGGACAGTCTTGAAATAAATTTAATGTTTATTTCCATATTTTCAGTAAAATATTTGCTAAATGTTCATCATTCAATTTTATCCTAATTATCCATGGTCATAATAAATAAGCCTCATGTTCATGAGGTTTCTCATGGTGTCTCATAAATCTGCTGTGAATACAATTAATTGTTTTCAATTATTGAAATACAAGTGAATGTTGCTGCCATTTTGCACACAGCAATACCCTACAAGCAACATCAAATTAAATTACTTGTTAAACTGCTGTTGTCAGTGTAGCTTGAAAGAGCCTACTGGCTAGTATGTTTATGGATGTTGCTGCTTGTCAACTGTGCCATTGGATTTTTGATGTCCACCTAAAAGAAATGGCGGGGAGGAAAGTCAACAGTGCCAGGTCTTCCGAGGTCTTCCCTGATTTAATGGAAAGACCTGATTTAATTTCTTTCTTCCATTTTCCACTTGGCTACTGATCAAATTGACAGCTTGGCTAGCTGGCTGGTGAGAAAACAGAGCCAGGAGACCAATGCCCAGGACCTGTGAGGACAGTCCCCATTGAGCCTGAGGCAGATGGGGAGTACATGGGAGGTAGATGAGGTGTTGAAGAGGGCTGGGGGTCAATTATAGGACCAGCTGGAGACAGGGCAACAAAGGACGTGAGGCTACCAATCGCAGCAAAGAAGAGAGTCTGGAAGAAATTAGTCTGAAGGTTTAATTGAAGGGGAGAGCACTCCTGCTCCTCCTGGTCCACAGGGATTGCTATAAAACACTTTTGAACAAATTGAGCTGGTAAATTTCACCTCTCTTGCACTGCCAAGTTTCCCAAATTGCTGGAAGCTCAGCTGGCAGCTGTTAAATTTAAATTAGGTTCAAATTGCTCCATGTAAGCCTGATTTTAAATTTGATAATTAAATGCCCCAACTCTGCAAAATGGGATATGTGCATGCCTTGCAATTCACCACAATACAGATATGTGCCCAACATTTAGAGTTTAATGTTCCCTGTCTCTGTCGTGGAGTTAGGGGGTGGATTAATATTGATCCCTTGGACTCTGTTTATCATCTCATGCGTAGGATGGCACTTCTGAAAATGTTGTTAGTATCATGCTTGAATGTTTGCCTAGATTACATGATTAAGTGCTGGAAAGAGCTTGAAGCCACAAACTTGCAGGAGTGAGAGTGCAACGACATTGACTAAGCTGAACTGTTTGGACACTTACAGCTTACTGCTGATCCAGGAGAGAATGCCAGTTTGAACTTGTTGGAAAGAGGCATACGAGAGCACACTTGGAATGTGCACAGACTGCATATTCTTCGTGTTTATGTGTCATACCTCCCAATGGGGATGAGTATGGATTCCAGTTCAACTGCTGATTCTGATTGGGAGCTGAACAGATCTCCTGGTTGTTTGGTGGGAAGAGCTGGATATATTTGTTGAGAGAAGTCATGCGTAGGCACCACCTTGTTACACAGCATTCAAATCACCTGGGAACAGACTTGTGCACATATCTTCTGATTTTAGGAGGTAGGAATCATACAGGAAATGATATTGAATGAGAAAACGAACCCATAAAATAAACTGAATTTCTTAAGTGAATGTAAGTAGAAAGTTTTTGTGAACTTTTTAAGTAGAACTTAACTCTACTAACAAGCTATCTTTTTCAATTCTTTTGTTGTCTGACATAGAATGTTCTCAAAATCCACATCAGATCTACTGCACTTGCCAATCAAATTTAAACGATGCATTGTCTAAAAACATGTTAATGTCTTAATCAAAACCTTCATGTAAAATTTGAAATTTTTTTTTTCATAATGTTCAGTGAGAAAGTCACATTTTAAGTGAAAGAAGTTCCTGTCATCCACCTGTTAACAACCTGTGCAACACTATCTGTGTACACCAAGCAAATAATTAGTGATAACGAAGTGGATTCGGGAAAAGATTATTTGCCTGTTGTATTGAACTCGGCAAATGGTAGTCGTGCCGATATTTTCCAATCCCCTTGTTCAAAGATGAGATCTCACACCCCTGGAGCAGGTGGAACTTGAAGCCATGCTTCCATCCCAGAGGTAGAGACACTGCCACAGTGTGTCAAGAGCCCCCATTGTAGTGGTGCAAAGGAAAGAGGGAGGAACAAAACACCTGAAGGCATAAAGCAAGATTGACAGCATAGAAATCTCCAACTTGCTAGCTGGTGGCAAAATGAGAGATTTTGGCAGTCTGATCTGTGTAAAATGAGACTTTATACCTTAGTTTGCTTTACAGCTCTGTTTCATTGTTTGGCTTTTTCTTCTGTGTCTAGGGTTGTTCATTCTTGGCTAAACAGCATTACTTTTTGCAAATGGTTGTACACCATGTTTGTGGAAGGTATAGTTCTGCACTGTTTTGATTTAAGGATTTCTCTCAGGACATATGCATTTACACACAAGAATGGACTTGCAGGGTAGTACCCATCCTTATGAACACTTGATTTTAAACCCTTAACTGTGGGCAGCTTCTAAAAGAGACAGGCATCTTTTGCACGAAGATGGGAAGACAACTGTTGGATCAAACTTTCTGCTAAGCAGTTCCAACTTATTGCGAAATACTATTTTTGTGTAGAAACTGCAATAAACCTGCTTTTTAGCAGCACTGAATCTCAACTCAATCAGTATCCCAGTCTGTTCACAAATACCCAGAGCCACAGGGTTATTTAAACTTTGTCTCCATATGCCAAGTGAGTTCATACCATCTACATTAAATATAGATTTCTGTTTACGTTCAGCTATCTCAAGCTGCTGGTGCAAACTGATATTGGAGTTTGAGTTTGGTAATTATCCCTTGAGGAATAGTGCCAAGATTAACCTTTTCTAAATCTCCAGTTCGACACTGGTCAAACAAAATGACAGAATTAAGTGTTAAGGTGAAGTTGTCTAGGCTTTGACCACCAGATGGTCACTCTGGATTAACAGGATGTAATCACAGAATCCCTGCAGTGTGGAAACAGGCGATTCAGTCCATTGAGTCCATACCGACCCTCCAAAGAACATCCTGCCCAGACCCGCTCTCCTAGCCTATCCCAGTAACCCTGCATTTCCCATGGCTAACCCACCTAGCCTGCACATCCCTGAACACTATGGGCAATTTAGCATGGCCAATCCACCTAACCTGCACATCTTTGGACTGTGGGAGGAAACCGGAGCACCTGGAGGAAACCCACGCAGACACAGGAAGAATGTGCAAACTCCGCACAGACCCAAGGGTGAGCCCGGATCCCTGGCGCCGTGGGGCAACAGAGCTAACCACTAACCCACCGTGCTGCCCCAAAAAAGAATCCCAGATATATGCCACAGCACACAGACCAAGGAAAGATAGTCTGAAAATAATGAGTACAGCTTCAGTATAAGATGTAATTGTATTCCACTGCCTAATTATGATATGTCAGTTTATTCTTAGGCAATTGCTTAACGCAACTTGAATCTTAAAAAAAATGGAAGCCGTCAGGAAAGTGAGAATTTGTAATAGTTTAGGATATGTTCAAATCTTCCTGATTTCTGCATAAGTTGTTTAGACACACTGCAATAGTTTAATTGTTAGTAAGTCATAATGATATGCTATCATTGTTTGCATTGTGATTCACAGTTCCTGTGGTTTAGGAGTAAATACATGGCTTCAGTGTGCGTTCTCTTTATCTGCTGAAATACATTTCTCTGACTCTGGTTGCAGCTGAAGAGGAAGCAGGTGTATGTGGACAAAGTAGAAAGAATGCAACAAGCTCTGATCCAGCTGCAGGCAGCATGTGAGAAACGGGAGCAGCTTGAACATCGGCTACGAACCCGACTTGAAAGGGAATTGGAATCCCTTCGGATGCAGCAGGTATATTGCAAACTAGTGTCAATTTTATATTTCATTTCATATTTAAATTGTATTTTTTTTTTAAAAAAGATCACATCTGGAGGGATTAGGGGATTTAAGCAGGATGTTCCCCTGTGAAGATTGAAGTAAAATCCCTGATGAATGGATATTATACAGTGTTTGGAAAGCCTGGGCTTGAGCTGAAGGACCTTTCCTCATTTGATGTTGTATAAATACAGTTAGCCTTGGGGACCTTGATAAAGACATGAAAAGTCATCCATCTCCTGATCATTGTATTGAGAATGGATGGATGTTGAGTGAGGTCAGTTCTTGGCGTTACATTTACCAACATTTATTTAGTAACATATCAGTTTGCTTTGATTTGATTTAATCTGAAGAGTGGTCACTGGTGTGTGGTATTGTTTAGAATGGCTAAGCTGTCCACAGTCATAGATAAAAATTGAATGGAGTAAATTCCACCTAAAACCCTATTTTCTGTTGCATATTTATGAATGACTACAGTGTACAAGTCCTGCCGTTATTGTGCAGTAGTCACCCAAAGAGCTCAGTGGTGAAGTGTAGAGAGCAGATTGCTAAACTGTCCTTCCAGCAGAGGAAGGGAAGGATGAGTATATAGAGAGAAAGAGAAGAAAAAATAAGAATGATTTCTCTTTCTGGACATGATTCTGGAAAGTTCCAGAAACAAATGCCGACGTTGGAGGATGTAAATGTAAGATGTCATCTGATTGCCGTTTTCATTTCGTCTTGCCCAGCGTCAGGGTACCTCCCAGAGCCCCACTGCTCCTGAGTGTAATGCCACTTCCTTAATGGAACTGCTACGTGAGAAGGAAGAGCGAATCCTGGCTTTGGAGGCTGACATGACAAAGTGGGAACAGAAGTATCTTGAAGAAAGTGTGATGCGTCAGTTTGCATTGGATGCTGCAGCTACAGTGGCAGCTCAAAGGTTGGTCTAACCTCGAAACTACTTCTGTGCCACAAGTTACATTGCCAGAACCAGACTCACATGTCTTAGATATAACAAGCCTCATACATGATTGGAACTTCGCTTCTACTTTCTAATAACTTTTATAACTGCTTGACTGGAGTGAGTAGGATTAATTCCACCTACCTTCTCCCCTCATTGACCTGAATTGAAGCTTCTGACTCATTTACGAGGAGGTGGAGAAACCTAGAACAGATGGAGAAGTGCACAATGTTTCATTTGTCTCTGTGGCTGGGCAATAGCAGTCTTGGTGATGTCTAGAGAGGCTGACTTCATGTACCTGAACTCCTGCATTCTGTTCTGGCCTGATCCCATCTTTAGCAGCAGTAAAAAAAAAAATTCACCTCTAAGTCACTGAAAAATGGGAATAACTAGGGAAAAAGAAGGTAAATACTGTCAACAGGATAGAAAGAAATAGATAGAAACATAGGGCAGGAAATTGAGGTGAGGTGGTATGGGAGGGGAGAGGGTAGATTGTATGAATCCTGAAAAAAAAGAAGGCAGCGAGCTGACTGGTCAGAAGCCTGTCTGTAGTGCAATGCTGGACTCCATGCTCAATCTTTTTGAGTAAGACCTGCTCAAAGTTTTGGAGCAGCTAATCTAATCTCTGTGCTTTGTTCATGCATGAGTGTAAGGAGGAAAAAAGACCCCTTTTAAGAACTAAGATGAATTGCAAATACCAATAGTTATTCATCCAATTTGTTGCCTGTGGGAATTCTGCTTTGAATTTGGTAAAAAGTAGAACTGAAATAAGGCCAAGTTACAGATGCATCTGTAAATTATTTCATACAACCAACTGCAAGTTGTTAGTGACAAGTTGATTTAAGTAATGATATTTTCAAAGAATTTGTATAATTTATGTCACTCCCTTTCTTTCTTTATTTAGTTCTTTCCGTTAGCTGAGGCAGGATTAAAAATCCTCACACATGACTTTGATAATGTTCATATTTCTGCACATTGTTGCTAGACCACAAAATGAAGCAAATGTCTTGGCCACAATGGTAACCTTGTGCTCGAGATTCATCTGTATTTTTCAAAACAATGACTAATAGCTGCCTCCATATGGGAACGTGTCCACAACACTCTGAATTAGGCTTTGTCACTGGTGCTGATGAGCACGTTGTTGCAGAAAAGTAATGTAGTAGTTGCATAAAGATGTCTCATAGGTTGCAAATTCAATATAGCCAATCAACAAATTGCAGCTCAAACACAGCTAGGATTTTATTTGGGACTTCAGCTAAGTAAAAACAGAAAGCATTGATGAAAAACTCACTTTACTTGGAGGTTAGTTTGGAAATATTTGCTTTTTGTGCAGGATCGCATTAGATTGGTGTTGTCACAAAAAGCAGGCTAGTTAGCCCAGCCAGTTTATGCTGGACTTGAGCCTCCTCCCAATTTTTACTCCCTTTAAATCTGTCACTGCAACCATCTCCCTGATATGGTTGTCTAGCTTCCCGTGAAATGCATCTGTGGACCACTTCAACCACTAACCGTGGTGGTGAGTTACAAGCTCTCATCACTCCTTGGGAAAAAGAACTTGTTCCTGGATTTCCTAATGATAATCTCATAGTGATAACCTTTAGTCATGCTCCACATCACAAGTAGAAACTTTTCCTCTGTATCCACTTGATCAAAACCTTTCTTCATTTGAAATATTGCCTGTATTAGGTTGCCCTCAATCTTTTTCACAAGTGAAAAGAGACCCTTTCTTACTGAAGCTTCTGGATTTATGTCTTGTTGCTGCAATGTCTACTAAAGTAAAATAATTGTTTGCACTTGAATGAGGATTTATGATGGAGTAAACATGATTGAGGTTTGATATATAGCAACTGAATCTTTCAACCAGATGCATGTACTGTATCTTGGCTAATTATATTGTGATGGCACTAACTCCCGATGGTTCAGAGTTTCTTATAAGTTGCAGCCCTTTGGTACATTACCCAAGTGACCATTTTTTACCTGTCATCCCACATAGTGTCAGCAGCCTCATAGATGCAGCCTCACCTGAACAGCAGTCAGGGCCTAGAACCTAGTCCAGCGAGGTTAAGTCGATAGTGGCACTTCTACTTCCAAGCAGACAAAAATCAGTGAATGTAGCACAGATTGTGAATTAAGCCCAAGAACCCTTGGTTTCTATAACATGGTAACACGGTAGTTTGTGGGTTTGTTAACTTAATTGCGTGTAAAGGCAAACAATGTAATTAGTAAGCAGAATTATAATTGTTGTGTCTGTTGTCAGGGATACCACAGTTCTCGGCCATTCTCCAAATGGTAGCTATGAAACATCCTTGGAAGCTCGGATCCAGAAGGAAGAGGAGGAAATTCTGATGGCCAACAGGAGGTGCCTCGACATGGAAAGCAGGTGGATCAAATGCATTCATGTCCTCCTAAAACAAGCTACTGTGTTTTCTTAAATAACCAATCATACATGTGTATTTTAAAAGGGAGAAAATTTTGCTAGTGTTTTGCTTAATTGACACCTTTTATATAGATCTTGTAATTTTTTTCTTCTCCTTTCAGATGTCATACTTTTAGAAATACTGTGAAATAACAGTGAATCATTTTTAGCAAGAAAGCTTATCATTTATTTCTCATCTATACAGAACTGGCCTTTTCAACGAGAGGAGCTGTCCTTCAGCTGAGGGCCTTACAACAATTTGCCCTTAGTTGACCTCACAATGTGCTAATTTGGACTAGGTTGTGGAGAGTATCTGATTTATTATGTTAAAGACATGTCAAGTTAGAACATCAGACTCCAAAATCCCCATAGCCAATATTATGAGAGATCTGTCACTTATCTAAAAGGCACATAATGCATGCTTTCAGTGATTGCTTTTTCTTTTTGTCTTCAGCTTTTCCTGTTTTGCTACAATTTTGAACTTTAATGTTTAACCTCAGAGTCTTCTTAAAGTTGGGTGGCACTGGTCTCTACGACACTGATCTGCATCAAACCAGTAGAGTTTGATCATCATCCTGACATAATTAACTCCGGCTGGATTTCTGGTAGACATAGACTGAAATCTATCCCACATCCATTAACTTAATTTTCTGTTGCGAATACACTCTGTGATTCTGGTTACTAGTCCTATTGCAAAACCACTGATGCCCCCTTTCAGATTCCATGCTGTCAGTGCTCTTCATTTAATCTTTCCTGTTTTGTTTCACAAAATAAAAGTTTTTAAATGTTGAATGGATTCTGATAATAGGTCATTTTAATTTTGCGTGTCTTGTTCCAGGATTAAGAATCTCCACGCTCAAATTATTGAGAAAGATGCTATGATCAAAGTTCTCCAACAGAGATCACGGAGAGAACAAGTCAAAACGGAACAACCAGCTGCTTTAAGACCATCAAAGTCCCTTGTTTCAATTTCCAATGCTACATCTGGACTTTTGTCTTATCCCACATTGCTGTCCAGTAATCCAATCATTGAGGAGAAGAAGGAAGACAAGAGTTGGAAAGGCAGTTTGGGTAAACATCTTTTTAAAAGAAGGAATTGTGGGATTTATTGTTGATAGAATTTAGTAACGCTAATGGTCAATAAAGGAGTTCAGATAATAATTAAACTCCCTTGTGGTGCAATGGTAGTGTCCCTACCCCTGGACCAGGAGGCCTAGATTCAAGTCCCACCTGCTCCAGAGGTGTGTAATAACATCTCTGAACAGGTTAGTTAGAAAAATTCGTTAAGTAAAAAAAGTTTTTAAGAATGAAACTTCTTCTTGACTGTGCAGAATCAGTTGAGAGTCCAGCAAAGAAGTGTATGTCTAAATATATTGGATTTAATATTGGTTGAATAAAAAATTGGAAAAGAAGTTGTAAAATATTATTTCTTGCTTGTTTGTTTCTTTCTATGCGTCATTGGCAATCACGTGGGCATGAGTTCCTCTTGTTACTTAGCAGAAACCAACACTTAGTTGGGTAGTCAAAAGAACTATATTTTAATCTGTTTTTAATACGCCTTCTCTTCCTTCAGGTTTTCTGCTCAGCACAGATAGGAATGAATCGCATTCTTCCTCCTCTTCACCGGTTCTACCCTCCACACCACTTCTTTCAGCGCATTCTAAAACAGGAAGCCGGGATAGCAGCACCCAGACAGAAAGAGGTCCTGAGCATAACAAATTGGGCACTGCCTCACCATCACAAGGAAAGCCAGGCAGTACTAGCCCTGCAAGTATGGAAAAAACAGGTATTTTGTTCAATGATATTTGTCCTATAGTCTCAGCTACATAAAGGTAAATGTGTTAATGTATCAATCAGATCTTGCTAGGCTATTGAATCTGCTACAGGTTGGGTATCCTTTATCTGCATGTCTGAAAACCAAAAAGACACAAAACCGTAGGTCTTTTTGTAAGTGAACCTGAATGGATCTTGTCAACATGCTTATTTTGGGCCCTTTGATTTGGGAATAACTTCAGTTGGCCTGAATAGATCTAAAAGCAAGGTTTTTTTCCCCCCAAAGAATTGAATGCTGCATGTTTACAGGTCTTTTTGTGTTCATTTGGGCCCTTTAGAAAGAAACTTCACTTTTAGTTCCAATTGGGCCAACCAAAGTCTTTTTTTCTTAAAGGGCCGGAATGGAACTTTTGGGGAAGGGGTGGGGTTAAATCTATCCAAAAACTGAAAATATTCTTTCTCCAAAAACCAGTTGGTCCCATGTTTTCAGCTAAAGGATTCCTATCTGAATAGTAAAGATTGATTGATTGATTTTTTTTTTCATCAGTCTTTAAGAGTCATATGCTAGTATACACCCAGAAAAAAACCTACATTAACTTGGGTAACCACTATCCACAGTCATTTGATCTCTTAACCCAATGAAGGATATTCTTGCCATAGAGCAAGTGCAATGAAGGTTCGCCAAACTGATCCTTGAAATGGCAGGATTGTCTTATGAATAGAGATTAAGAAGACTGCATGTGTTTTCTCTAGAGTTTAGAAGAATGAGTAGATAAATTTCTTACAGGGCTTGATGGGATAGATGCAGAAAGGATGTTTCTGCTGCCTGGGAGTATCTGGAATCAGGGTTACAATCTCAGTGAGATACAGACTATTTAGTATTGAGATGAAAGGGAATTTTTTCGATTAGGATGGTGAACCCTTGGAAGTCTCTATCTTAAATTACAGTGGAGGTCAGTGGATTTCTAGATATGAGAGCTATCAAGAGATATGGGGATAGTGTGGAGAACATGATTTATTTGAATGACAAGCAGTCTTGCAAGGCCAAATGCACTACTGCTACCCTTTATTTCCTGTGTTGCTAATGGGTGCAAATGCAACCTATAGAGATTTCTTATCTTTTTTAAAAAAGCATCCACTTGCTTTTATGGCCCAAAGTCAGTGACTGGTCTCTAGTTATGGATCAACAGGTGCCTCTGACTTTCCAGTATTTTCTCACATATTCAGTCATCATATGTAAGTGCACATGATGACTAATTGAACATGAGAGGTGGGTTGCAAAGAGATATTGTTGTGGGTCACTAACCTCCATGGGTTCACAGTCCAGCGTGGATTATTTGATGACCATTAGAAGTGGAAGTCTTAGTTGGAGACAAAGGTCAGACTTATAAGATGAAAGCCTTCCCTGCCTGGTGGCAGTAAGACTGTAACTTGTGCTAAACCTGACCTGTGAATTAAAAAAAAAACCCACAGAACTGCGGACGCTAGAAAGTAGAAGCAAAACAGAAATTGCTGGGGAAACTCAGCAGGTCTAGGAGCATCTGTAGAGAGAAAGTTGAGTCGGTGTTTCGGATCCAGTGACCCTCCATCAGCACGGTTCTGAAAAAGAGTTAATGGACCAGAAATGTTAACTCTGCTTTCTCTCCACAGATATTGCCAGTTCTCCTGACTCTTTACAGCAATTACTGTTTTTGTTCCTGACCTGTGAATGTTTGTCGCAGGTACTAGGTGGCTAAAGCTGTACAAAAAGAATGTTTGTCAATGCTAATATTTTTCAACAAATTCATAAGTAAAACAAATATGCACCTTAGTAGCAACTTTATGATCAGTTAAGAAAAGACCGTCAGTAATTTCTTCAGCTGCCAAAATCCTCTGTAGGCAAATGGTGAACAACCACTTTGAAACTTACTTCCACTGTGTAAATAAAATGAATTTTTCTCGTACGAAGTTTTAAGATGACTCTTGCCTACCAAATGCAAACAGTAAACTCCAGGATATCAGTCAAGCATTGTAATATGTTAAATAAACCTGACTGGTTGCATTCCACAGATAAGTCTCATTGGTTCCAGTCTTCCTGGAGCAATGGGTTGAATTTTGATGGAAATTAAGATGTCATACAACTGGATTGAGAGTGGGAGCCAACCTAGGGCAGTAAGAAATAGGGGCCTGGGGTTGGTGTCTTGACATCAGCCAATTTAGCAGGCTGATGCCACGGTCATTGTCCAGTTGAGAACAGTGGCCTGTCTCCAGGTGTTACAACTCTATCAGAGACACAGTAATCTCAGCAGTGCCACTTCTAGTAGTGGTCACTGCCAAGGTTGCAGGACAAGGACGTGAATGCCTCCATGCTGAAATGCCCTTGAAGGGAGTGTAGATGTCCTTGAGCCAGCCTTGGGAGGATCCTAAGTTTTGAATATTGGTGCCTTTGCTGGGGACAGAAGATTGGCTTTGTGAGCTATACAGCAATCACTAAAGAAGCCTACATCCTGGGAACCTGCTGGGAGGACGCTGGCGATCTCCAAAAGCAGGAAAAGCAATAGAGTGGGTAAGAAATTGTCTTTAATTGGACCATTAAATAGCTGAACTCGCTGCAAGCAGACACACCGCTGTTGTTCCTGCTGCTGGTAATATGCTAAAGCCATAGGTGCTGGTTGTGCACATAATATCATATATTACATTTAATTATCCATGTCTCTGAACTTGACCTAAATCATTTGAGAAATCAAATATTCATTTAGGTTTTTTTGCAGTTAATTAGCTCTGGTAATTTTGTTGGAAGTTTTCCACTAAATCTATTCCACTGAGTGAAAATGATATAAATAATTCCAATTTGAATATTCTTATAAAAAGGTGCCCTTTGTCAAAGCTTTTTGTGTCGCATTCATCAGGTCAATTTGCAAGAAATGCCAAAATAAAGGAAAAGCAACATTTACACTGTATGAGAGGCGAGTGCTGATTGGTTGACAAGTGAACTCTGACTGGTAGCAGCATTGACATGGGGAACGCACCAGTTAATCATGAC